ACTGTTACAGGTGCGGTCAAGTCTAACTGCAGAGGTAAAGTTTAATTTCTTCTCTTCGCTAATACCACACGAACTTTCATTGGATGAATGAAGTGAACACTTTAAAGTGTAATCAAACAGAATAAATTTCACACGCAGTTCATAAAGAGTAAACTCCGCTTCTCATTAGACTGAGACAATTTAGCCGTATATGCAACTAATTGGTTGCATGCCAAGAATGACGTACCGGCTATGAAAGTAATTTTCCGTTGAAGTTAACTCTAAAGGAGATGTTGCACGAGACGATTCGCAACAACGATTTTTAGCGCAACACAGCATTGCAACATTGTTACGACATTGTTTCTAATGGTTACAACATTGCTACAACATCGCAACGCTGTGTTGCGATAAAAATCGTCGTTGCGAATCGTCCTTTGTAACCTCACCTTAAGACTGATATCGATGACATGGTTTAATAGAGTGATTTTACTTAACACGTGAAACAGTATCTAAAAATTAGTGCCAAATAGTCAGAAGTAAACAAAAGAAAACAATAAAATACAGCGTAGTATTTGACTATCTATTTCACGGGTTAAATCACTCTATGTCCGCATTGTGGCTACAGTTCTCTTTACAAAACTATCCGCCAAAAGTCATAACAGGACTACAAAGATATCTAGAGACAAGTTGCTACAAGAAAGAATAAATATCTCTCTTGGTTGCCATAACTGATTGTAGGCCCTCTTTTCGTTGTATAATCACTTTCAAGTACGAACAGTAAATATAACAACCTTGGGGCTTAAACATTCCAATGCGCCGTCCAAATTTTGCGTGTATATTCGCGGTAAACAGGATGGCTGGGATAACGGACAACACGCTTCACGTAGCTGTTTGGCGCAACAACATCACAGAAATCATTGGATATATACAACTAACTGCAGGACTTAGAGCTATTTAAAAAGGTGAGATTAAAATAGCGAGAGCGAGAAGTAGAGAAAACAACAATGGTCGAACTCTTATGACTCTTAGCTTTTATACTGGATACTTTGGAGATACTTTGAGCGGCAATGTTTCGAAAAATCCGGCTAAATGATTCTCCAAAACCAAGGGGTCTGAGGCCAAATGGCCTGAAAGGGTGTTGACAAAGATTGTCACAATTCTTTGGAAACGTCTGGCTGTTTTTTTGAAAACCTGTCTACCAAAAAATTGCATTCAAGGAGTAAATCGGATAAAGACATACGTGCTCAAATGATTAATTCATTCATTATATTCGGCTATGCTTAACTCATTTTAACTTTACAAATGAGGTCAACATCTCGAAGAAACGGTGCGACGACAACGAAACGATATATAACGCTGAGAAGCCAGGTTCCTACAACGCATAATGCTTTACAGAACTGAGTGAAGATTGAAAGATTTATTAGCATGTCACTAACATTACGACGCAAGGATGGATATACTTATTTAGCAACTCGGTAGCACCAAACAGTCTTGGTCTTTTTTGAGGTTTCCATTCATTGATGTTTCTCAATTCACAATCCGCTGGGATATTGTTGAAGAGCCTCAGCGAATGAAACTTTGTCGAGAAGCACCCCCCCCCTGCCCCCTGTCCCCTACCCCCCCCCCCGTGACTTCAAGCCTCACTGTCAAGATTTAGTCTAATTCAGTTTAATAAGAACAGTGTTTAACAAAGTTGATGCGAAACAAAAGCGTCAACTTCAGCGGCTAACAGGAGAACGCCTGCGTAGCAAGCATTTCCGTGCGGTTTCGGAGCAAAGAACGAGGAACGAGAGTCAAAGATCGCGCGAAAAATGACGCGAATAAATGAGAACCAAACGAAAACGCTTGCCACGCAGGCTACGCATTAATCATTGGTAACGTTAGGCGCATGTGTAGTATAATGCGGACTTGTCCATTACTTATAGGCGCACTCTAAAAGTAGACTACCACACATGCTGAGTAATTGTTGTTACTTATAACCGGACACAGAGAAAGTGATGTGTTGAGCAAGTGACCGAAACTACAGACTTCTCTTCTCGTCGAGGTTTTCTTGAGACTCCACCTCTTGTTTCAACTGCTTAACCATCTTGGTTAATTCCTGAATACTCTGAAATGTATGTAATTTAAAACAATAATAAAAAAGTAGAAATAAAAGGAAATACTAACAATCCCATTAAAAAAAGTGGCAACGCTAGCTTACAATGCAGCAAGCAACACAAAACTTTACAATTCGTCTTCAATTTTTTGGAAAGTTACATATCGTCGTCAACTCTCACACCAGGGGTCTTAAGTTGGCCGTTCTTTAACAAGCTTTTGTATCTAAATATGACAGTGACCAGAAATTGGTTGACATATCAACAAAAACGCATTCGAAAAGTGGGTGGATTTGTTTCGCAACCAGGCAAACTTGAGTCTCTCTTCCAGTCAAGTGCCTCATGGAATGCTAAGCCCACGTTCGTTGGCTTTTTCCCGTACAAACCGAAAAATAACCACGACTTTAAAGCTGGTAAAAAGGTTCTTGGTTTAATCCAGTTGATCCCTGCCGCTGGTTCTCACTAATATTTTTGTATTAACATCGAACGAATTGCATCATAACAAAATTACTCCGAGGAATTCCGAAGGTTGCGCGATAGCCTACAGGATTCCTGAGGTTACCCGAGAAATTTCGAAGATGACCCAAATCCTACCGAAAGTATCTTCCCGAAGATACTACGCGAAATATGATTCATTTCATATATTTCAATTCATGATACTACGCGAGTCGAGCAATTTTTCAATTCTAAGACAAACGCAGAGTATCAATCCTTTTGCACCACTTCATGTGATTTCCGTAAATGACCTAATAAACGCCCAGTTCCAAATAAACGCCTCTTATCTAATAAACGCCCTGTAACACGCTCCCTCTACGATGTGAAAATTGTAGAAGACGCCCCTCTCTCATAAACGCCCCCTGTCTAATAAACGTCCCCTATGAGAATTACTCCAAAATACTAGGAATTAGCAAAAAGGAGCAAAATCATTCAATTCATTCAGTTACTTGCCTTATTAACAAGACTTTGCGCATTTCATCTTGTCTAAGGCCAAGTTTAATAAAAGGATAGACTAACGATGACAACACAATAACCCTGAGAGAGGATTCTGACATCGATGTCGGAATTTGAAAGAGCGATTTGGATCTCGTAGACGTATTAATTGATGGATCACATATTCCGCTATTTCTCAACTCCGTTGATGTTTTCGCCAAAGCATATTAGTTTTTTTGAGCTTGTTACAGTAATGAGAATAAACGCCCCTCTCTTTTAAACGCCTCCTATCCTCGCCTTTCTTAGGTCATTTCGAGGCACCTTTTCCGCCCCACCTCCAAAGCCAGGGAAAAACGCTTTGGGGACTAGGCGAGTTGCAGTGTATGTAATAAAGTGGGTGACCTCTGCATCCAAGAAATTTTTTTTGTGACAAAATCTCCGTTACGTACGTACCTACGTCCACCCCTTTTTAGCGGGCTTGAAATGTCACACTTACTAACTTGAAGTCCAGGGTATACATGTATATGTTGTGGTTCAGTTTTATACTTGGTATATCATACATTACCATACCCAAAAACAAAAGAAAGAAAGAATTTAAACCAAGGATAAAACTGAACCACGACATATACAATCTCTGTTAAACTTGACATTGTATATCCATGTTATGGTCATGTGACAGCTGTCAAAAAAGGTATACGCTGACCAGTGTCACATGACTGTATCGCGAACTCAGGTGTACAACTAACTGAGGCGACGTATTTTTCAAATTTCTCCGCTGGCCAGTTGTTGGATTTTAATTGATTGTAAGTTCAGGTCAATTTTTTTTAGGAGGAATCAGATTGCTTCTAGCTCATGATGACAAATGTTGAATTACTGCAGAAAGACTTTTCTTAAAAGATGCCACGAGAGCTTCACTTTTGGCCATGGTTAAATATATATAAAACTGGCAATTGAAACAATACCCATCATCACAGTACTTAATTTTACGTTACAAGACCCACCTCTGACAGGCTGCTGTCCCCACTGGTGATGTGCTTCAGTCCCAAACCTTTTTAAGACAAGAGCATAGTTCAATGGTTCAGCCGAATCAATATAAAATCCTGTCCGCGATAGACTTAATTTTTTTTGTTTTTACAAGACCGATTGCAAAAAAATAATATGTAGGATTAATTTTCATCCACATGCAAGTCAACTAACTAAGAATGCATATAACTTCATTGGCGCTGACTTTGGGAATGCACTTTTTTATTGTCATTTCCGACAATTTATTCAGTTAACAGTAACAGCGTTTCTATTCCTCTCCTCACAGTTCTACTTGAATACATCCCTCTTAATCGGCAGCCCGAGGTTCTATATATGTAGTAATCATAACTATAACAAAATTCGCAAATCTGATTGGTTCTCAACTGCCCTGATTTCAGCCTTAATTGGACAGTTTAATAGGACAGTACGCGTCATGCCTAAGTAATTGGACAGTACGCGCCATCACGCGCGCGCTTAAATGGCTTTTTTTTCTCATTGCTAGCGAAAAAATCTTGGAATTTCTTGTGTTTTGATTTTAAAAGAGCCCTATATATCACAAATTTTGTTAAAGTTATGATTAATTGGTAACAGAACTTCGTGTCGTCCAATTCGGTCTGTAATCATACTCGTGATTAAACAAATCGGGCTCCCGCTACGCGGTCGTCCGATTTTGTTAATCACTCGTATGATTACAGACCGAATTGGACTCCACTCAGTCCTGTTACCATTACTTATAACTCCTTTTCAAAGCTGTTTTCATTTCCTTTTAAAATGTATTGAAACTGTATAGCTATATGTTAGAAAAAGAAGGAGACATCTCGTGGTGATCGCTGATAAACCCTGACTAAATCAATCTTCTTTTACATGGAAATAATTGTGGCTTTAAAAACGCTGTCCGAAGTGAACACTCATTTCGTCCCTTAGACACCCAAGAGGTCTCCTTCATTTTAAACTCGGTTCTAAATGAAGTACTGGTTCGTTACCGTGTGAGGAAGACAATTCTAATGACCATTTATTTGCTCTGTAAGTGCTCGTAAATGATGTCACCACGCCAAACCTGTTGTAAACCTGCCTACGAAAAGGGAAATTTTGGTTGGTACATGAATCGTCCAAGACCGACAAGACTAGAGATACAGCTATAGCGTAATACTTATGCAAAAGTACTTCAGTAAAATTGTATCAACAATGCATTCTAACCAATAAACGTTGTTTACTTGTTTTAGAAGAAAAAAGGATCCATCATCGAACGCAGATGTTTTAACGCTGCAGTCAATTTATCTTTGATGATTTTTTTTCCCTTTTTGTTCTCTTTCGTTTGTGTTATTTTCATTTTTACAGGCAATATTGACTCTTTCGAACATTTATTACTGTAAAAAACAAATTGACGCCAGTTTTTTATCGCCTACGGCTCGAGGTTCCACAACACTTTGACAATGTTATGACTTCATTTTATCATCAATAAGGAGACAGATGACAAAAAACTGGCGTCAATTTGTTAAACTGATGGCATGGAAAAATTGTGAATACCATCAGGTTTGATTGTTACAAGCCATCTTAATTTTCTGTTTAAATGATAAAAATTCTAAACTTATACACCTTCACACTTAGGTAGCTTGAGAAAACAGCCGACATTTGGCGACGCTACCACTGGTTTCCCGCCAAATCACGTCTAAGAAACGAGCGCAGACATTCCATACTGACGCGTCACTATCCAGATCTGGGTAGTGACGCGTCACCAGCATGGAATTTCTGCACTAGTTTCCTAGACGTCATTTGGCGGGGAAACCAGTGGTAGCGTCGCCAAATGTCGGCTGTTTCCTAAGGCTGACAGTAAGGTTACTCACTTCAATAGCGCCACTGTATCTCCTCCACCCGAATCACTGCCCCATCCCACTTTCCACTCAGAATTACGCAAACCCTTTCGTTCAATTGCCTCCACTTGGTTCACGTCTCCACTAACGGAACTTTGATCCAAATAATAAGCAACCTACAAATAAAACACAAATCTTCGCCAACTTTTAATTTTCAGTTTTCTTGAAGGATATAAACAAGGTCTTTTCTTAGCTTTTTAGCGATTCTCCAAATTTGGCATGTGTGCTGCAAGACTTGGCTAGGGGGAGCCGGACAAAAAGTTTAGATTTCTTGTGAAATGTTTGTGATCCATGCAAAAACCCATCAAAAGTTCAACTCAGTTATGTATCTTATAGCGAAAACAAATTTAAACTGTTCTGCGGTGTATCATGGACGAGCCCAAGTTGTTCAGAATTTAAATACCTTGGTATTAGAGGTACTTACCAAGTTCAAGCTCGAGTTCGAGTTTATTTATTAAGACAACATCAGTAATTTTAGACGGAATAATTTCGTTAATACTAGTTCCTTCGTGAAAGAGTACTTACAAGTACTACGTTACTAATAGAAATGCCCGCGGGTAAATTGAGAATCCAGTTCACCGGTTCGTAGCTACCAAGGACGAGAACGATCGGTCTCTTTGACTTTCCGCGGCTGACGATATTCACAATAGCGTTTCCGGCAGTTGGTGGACGTCTGTTAATAACCTCATAAACAGACAGTACGTGGACCTCGTACTGCGTAGAACTGCTGTCAGGAGTGCAGCTGTAGGTGGTCTGGCGCTGTTGGTTGTTATACCTTGGTTTGGNCCACATCTGGGTAGTGACGCGTCACCAGCATGGAATTTCTGCACTAGTTTCCTAGACGTCATTTGGCGGGGAAACCAGTGGTAGCGTCGCCAAATGTCGGCTGTTTCCTAAGGCTGACAGTAAGGTTACTCACTTCAATAGCGCCACTGTATCTCCTCCACCCGAATCACTGCCCCATCCCACTTTCCACTCAGAATTACGCAAACCCTTTCGTTCAATTGCCTCCACTTGGTTCACGTCTCCACTAACGGAACTTTGATCCAAATAATAAGCAACCTACAAATAAAACACAAATCTTCGCCAACTTTTAATTTTCAGTTTTCTTGAAGGATATAAACAAGGTCTTTTCTTAGCTTTTTAGCGATTCTCCAAATTTGGCATGTGTGCTGCAAGACTTGGCTAGGGGGAGCCGGACAAAAAGTTTAGATTTCTTGTGAAATGTTTGTGATCCATGCAAAAACCCATCAAAAGTTCAACTCAGTTATGTATCTTATAGCGAAAACAAATTTAAACTGTTCTGCGGTGTATCATGGACGAGCCCAAGTTGTTCAGAATTTAAATACCTTGGTATTAGAGGTACTTACCAAGTTCAAGCTCGAGTTCGAGTTTATTTATTAAGACAACATCAGTAATTTTAGACGGAATAATTTCGTTAATACTAGTTCCTTCGTGAAAGAGTACTTACAAGTACTACGTTACTAATAGAAATGCCCGCGGGTAAATTGAGAATCCAGTTCACCGGTTCGTAGCTACCAAGGACGAGAACGATCGGTCTCTTTGACTTTCCGCGGCTGACGATATTCACAATAGCGTTTCCGGCAGTTGGTGGACGTCTGTTAATAACCTCATAAACAGACAGTACGTGGACCTCGTACTGCGTAGAACTGCTGTCAGGAGTGCAGCTGTAGGTGGTCTGGCGCTGTTGGTTGTTATACCTTGGTTTGGCAAGGGCTGTAGCAGAATTCACCTCGATTTTGCATCCATATACATCAGCTGAAGAAATGAAATAGTAACTCAGAGTGTCAGAGATGGTGATCGTTTTGCGGGTTGTGCAGAAAGCCACTATTCACCCCGACTTCAAAGAATAATTGTTAGTAGTTATAGATAAGTGCAAAGCCTCTGCGTTAATCAAACAGGAGCCATTGACTATTTTCCATTTCCCCATAATACACTCTGTCTGCCCCCCAAATTTTGCATAACTTATTGTCTTAAAATGCTCTTGGAAAAATGCAATACTCCCAGGAGCATTTAAAAACAATGGTTTATGCAAAATTTGGGGGGCAAACAGAGTGTATTATGGGGAATTGGAAAATAGAGAATTTTTATAACACACCTAAACTTATTAATGCAATTTTTACTGACACATGTACCCGATATCTGAGGTTTTAGCTTTTCGTTATCATAACGAGACAACTTACGCAAGCAAGTGTCATAGTTGTAGCCTTGACCAGTGCAGACGCAATAACCGTCTTTGCAGACAGCCTTCATTTTGGAATATTGGCCAGTACAACAGAATGAGTTCTGCCATTTATAACACTTTTGCCTGTGTGGATTGGGTGTAGGTGATGGTGAGGTGCTGTATGTAGGTACAGGTGTGGAAGCTGGTGTCCCGGCAGCTGTTGGAGTTGGTGTGATGGTGGCAGCAGAGCTGGGAGTTGGTGTACCGGCAGCTGTTGGAGTGTCTGTGATGGCGGCAACAGCTGAGCTGCTACTGAGGTTTCCATACCCCAAACCTGCGCAAAGATAAATGCCATCAATGGTCTAGCGAAATCTAAAATTGATTGAAATTATAGTGTAACCTTGCACAAGAAGTGTTTCCAAAGATTCTTTGCGACCACAATAATCAGGTTAAGTAGGAAAATGGTACTATTTGAACAAACCGCCAGTAGGTTCAAGTAGTTATGGAAAACATTACTTAAGTAGGTTGAGGATGATCGCCCTGGTGAACGTAGTCCGGAATAGGACTGTTGTTGACAGTGACAATAACAGCAGTCCTATTCAGGACTACGTTCACCCGGAGTTCACCTGGACGATCACGCTCAACCTACTTGTAAAATGACTCCTGGGTTCAAACCTTTCGCAAAAACATCAAAGTTATTTCGGTTGTAAAGAAGATAAAATGTTATTTATACGTACCGCTTGAGGAGCGTATCACCAGTGACCATTCATCTGCTATGTAAGTACCTGTAAATGACGTAACCACACCGAATCTGTTGTACACTTTTCTATAAAAATAAAGGCAAAATGTTAGTTGATATCCAAAATGAACAATGAACAATAAAAAACTTTCGTATATCAAAATTATCAAGACCTCAGCAGACTTGAGGTTACTTGTATTTTTTTTTCTTTAAGAAATGTGGAATTCCCTCAAATAACTTCGCAGTTTAGTTAGTTACTTACTTTAGAAGCTCCACTGTATTTCCTCCCCCCGAATCACTGCCATATCCATAATGGTAACTCTTTTGTTCAATTGCTTTCACTTGGTTTACGTCTCCACTAACGGAGCTTTTATCCAAATAATGGGAAACCTGCAGATAAAACCAACTCTTCATTATCAACATTTCGATCAGTCCTGACTTGTTTGAAAGATTATTTCTTTATTTTACCATAAAATGATAGCATCACGGAATATTTTGGAATTTTGGTTAACATAAATAATGTATCTTTCCCTTGAAATGATACCTTCTAATCAATAAAAACCATCAAAACATCTGTCTTTTGTCATTGTATACACATTTACATAGTTCTTAAGAGTGTCATGATCGCAGACATTGCACACTTTCTAATAATTATAGTCCATTTTACAGTTACAGGTGGAAATGAGGCTGGAGTTGACCTTGTTTTGATACAACCCTTCCCGCTTTATTATGTAAATCATGTTGTTCTTATGGTAAGTAGTTTTTTTAGGCATAATTTCCATATGAAAAGGACAGAGGTCAAAACAAGGTCAACCTCGGCCACGTTCACACCTTACAGCGGGTAGAATTTTCGACCGATTGAAGAATTTTAACAGAAACTTTGTTCACACGGATTTCGCGCTCATCACACGGAACTGTCGAACCAGCTTGAATTTTAACTTCTGTCACAATCTCGGCCCCAGAGCTCTTGTGCGCATGGCTTTTGTCAGAGGTTTTACCATCTGCTCATGCGCAGAGCGATACCTAAGCAAATTCAAAGTGGCGTCTCCCAGCTGAGTGACCATGATCCATGCAACGTCGCCTTATAAACCGTTAAAAAATTTAGCCGGTCACTGTGTTAACACCTCGCCGTTCAAATTTTTGACCGTACCGGTCAAAAATTTGACCTCGATTTTACCGTTCAAATATTCGAACGGTTAGCGTGGTTCCGTGTGAAGGGAAGATCTAAACGTACGAATTTTCGACCGGTACCGTCTGAATGTTGCCTCAAGCTCACATTCACTCAAAGGCTAGCATACTAAGCTCACAACTGTAAAATGGTCTATTCAGCAAAAATTGCTCAGTTTTCAAATGCCTCGGCTATACATTTATTTTAAGTAAACAAAATATTGACCAGACGTTGTGTTATATAAACTAAGGAGTAAAAAGTTTAAAATCCTGGCCCAAGACTATCGCCTGTCACTCAGGCTATCCAATGTGGAATACATCATGTCTATCAGGGGTAAAAAGACTTTGTAAAAATTATATTGCCCGATCGACTATGAGAACAGCAACATTGCCTACCCTATACCATAATTAATTGCAGTGACTTGTCACTGAGCAACTGAAGAATGATTTTTTTAAAAATATAATTCCTGCTGTGCGAATACAACAACAACAAACAAATTTATTCACACTTGCTTAATTTATTATGACGGAGGAAGATTAGCGAGAGTAAAAATAGTAACCCTAAGGGTAGGTGCTAGGGCGAAAGAAGGAAGGGGGGAGGGGGAGGGGAGAAAAAAAATACGCCCTTCTCTCTTCCCGCCCCCTATCCCGCTCCTTTTGACTCGCCCCATTTTCTCCCCTCTTTTCGAGTTTCAACATGGCGCTTTTGCGAGCAAAACATTCGCGCGCCCGAAGAAAACGCCTGCACTGCAGGCTACGAGACAGAGGAAGGAAAAAGACATATTTTCCTCGTCTATAAAGATGAACTAGACGACAATTACAGTACAATAAATTAAAGATCATAAATGAAATAGAAATGAATAAACCGCCAACAGTAGTAATAACAAGGGAGACTAAGATAAAAGCGAAGTAACTTGCGATGAAGTAGAAAACAACTTTATAAGACGAGGGACTCATCATAACCGTCTTCTGAAAGGAAGAATTTCCAAGTAAATCCTTAACTTTTTTTCTCAGTCTTTTTCTTCTTTTAACGCGGCAGGATTAGCTAAGTCGATAGAGCCCTTCACTGCAGAACCACAGGTCGCGGGTTTGATTCCCGGTGTTGGACCTATACTGAGGATCTTAAAATAAATGAGTAATGAAGGCACTGTCTTTTCCAGGCAAACGGCAAGTCTTTCGCGTAGCTCAAATGACCACAACAAATGGCAGCCCCGTCTCCACTAGGAGACGTGAAAATAGTGTCCCCTGCATTAGTACTTTCCTGGTAAATAAATGAACACTCAATTTGAGTGCGTTTTTTTTTCGAAAATGGGATCGCTTGAGCATTTTTATTGACGAAGGGGTACGGTTCAAACTTTGATCCCAATTGTTGAAAAGGTTAAGTATTTTTTTGCGTCCTAGACAACTAAACATACGTACCAATACTACTTTACTGATGGAAATACCAACGGGCAAATGAAGAATCCAGTTAACAGGTTCGTAGCTTGCAAGTACGAGCACAATAGGTCTGTTTGACTTTCCCCGACTGACGATATTCACATTTGCGTTACCGGCTGTTGGTGGACGCCTGTTAATAACCTCGTACACAGACAGTACGTGGACCTCGTACTGTGTGGAACTGCTGCTAGGCGTGCAACTATAAGTAGAATAGCCCTGCTGTTGTTGGTTGTTTGGTTTGGCGTGAGCTGTAACAGAATTCACCTCTATTTTACATCCATATGCATCAGCTGAAGAAATGAAAAAGTTCCCAGAGTAATAATCAGCGTAAATAGAACAAAAAGACCACAATCAGAGATGCAGAGATGGAGTTGATGTTTGGGATTGCTGCATCACTGGTGGTCTAACCAATTCTTCTTCTTTTAATAAACCCTTCCACGGTTTTTCCAACTTTTAACTTGGACCAGTTAGCGAAAATCTTTAAATACGGCTAAAAAGAACGCCTTAAAAATAATGAAGATGCCAATTTTGAACGTGATTTGTTGAACATTAACGAGGATAATACTGCGCAAAGTGGCCGAATTTTACAGTCGTTTGGACGTTGGAGGCAAGTACAAACCTTGTAAAATTTCGCGACTTTCTCGCGAATTTCTCGCAATATCTTTGCTTGCTTTAACGTATTAACTTTAAATTTGGTAAGTTTCCCAATCTTAAGGCCCTTTTTCCAACAGTGTTCACACCTCATACTCTTAGAAAAAGATCAGGGACGTCCTAAATACCACAGTATGAAACCTCCTTAAAAAATATAGGCTCTATTTTCTAGAAACGTTATTTTGAGTCAACATAATAAAAGGCTAAATCGGGCTGTGGAATACGGTTATATCTTTGTCTTGGCACCTTTGTACGTCTTCTGTCGGCATCTGAGTGTCAGCTTACTCTACCTGATCTATGGAAATCACAAGAAAACAACTTACGCAAGCAAGTGTCGTAGTTGTAGCCTTGACCAGTGCAGACGCAATATCCTTCTTTGCAAACAGCCTTCCTTCTGGTATATTGGCCAGTACAATAGAATGAGTTCTGCCATTTATAACACTTTTGCCTGTGTGGATTGGGTGTAGGTGATGGTGAGGTGCTGTATGTAGGTACAGGTGTGGAAGCTGGTGTCCCGGCAGCTGTTGGAGTTGGTGTGATGGTGGCAGCAGAGCTGGGAGCTGGTGTACCGGCAGCTGTTGGAGTTTGTGTGATGGCGGCAACAGCTGAGCTGCTACTGAGGTTTCCATACCCTGAACCTGGTCAAGAGAAATGCGAAAAATGGTCTGATAAAATTTAAAATTGATAGAAAGTATGATGTTAACACGGACAAGAGGACTTTCAAACATGATACTTGTAATTTTCTTTTCAATCACATTAATCAATTTAACCAGGAAAATGGTACTATCTAAACAGACCGCAAGGAGGTTCAAGTAGCTAAGAAAAACAGTACTGTAATGTTGGTTGGTAACATAGTAAAACGTTAGGTAAACGTACCGTTTGAGGAGCGTACCACCAGTGACCATTCATTCGCTCTGTAAGTACCTGTAAATGACGTCACCACCCCAAATCTGTTGTACACTTTTCTATAAGGCAAAATGTAAGTTGGTATCTTAAACAACAATATAGAACTGTCTTATGTCAAAATTATCAAGATCTGAACAGACTGGAGGATGTATGGATATTTTTCTATAAGAATTGTGGAATAACCTTAAGTAATTTTGTAGTTCAGATAATGACTTACTTTAAAAGCTCCACTGTATTTCCTCCGTCCGAATCACTACCATAGCCAATATCCCCGTAGTCTGAAGAGGAGACACTCTTTCGTTCAATTGCCTGCACTTGTTTCACATCTCCACTAACAGAACATTTATTCAAATCATAAGAAACCTGCAAATCAAACACAACTCTTGCTCATTAACATTTCTTTTCTTGTTTGAAAGACAAGATGATTATTCTTGGTTTTGTTCTGACAGTATAATAACATGTTCAAAAAAGCTTACCCTAAAATTGACATGCTGTTGGTAAAAGAAAATTGCGTAAGACTATTAAGTCTAGCTCTGAGTCGAATGATTTTTCGCTTTTTTAGTTCATGATGTGCGAATGTACTTACCAATATAACTTTGCTAATGAAAATACCAGCAGGTAAATTAAGAATCCAGTTAACAGGTCCGAAGCTTGCAAGTACGAGTACAATCGGTCTGTTTGACTTTCCATGACTGACGATATTCACATTAGCGTTACCGGGTGTTGGAGAACTCATGCTAAGAACCTTGTTCACGGACAATACGTGCACCTCGTACTGTGTAGAACTGTTTCCGGGCGTGCAGCTGTAAGTAGAATAGCTCTGTTGTTGTTGGATGTTTGGTTTGGCAAGGGTTGTAGAAGAATTCACCTCGATTTTGCATCCATATGCATCAGCTGAAGAAATGAAAAAGTAAGTTAGAGTAGCAAAGATGGAGATGGTTTTGGGGGTTGTCCAGACAGCCCGTGATTTATTCAGTCAATTGCAGCTTGCCTTAATAAATTAAAGTGAGTGTGTCTTTAGGAAACATCTAAGAAGAGCAAGTCCTAAACAACACTCTTGAGAACCCCCTTCCAAGCAATAGACCCCTCTATATCAAAACTATGCTTTAAAGTAGTCACAGATTAGTGCAAAGCCTCTGTGTTAATCAAAAAGGAGCCATTCTTAAAACACCTATTAACTTAGCAATGCAGTTTTCACTGACACATCTGCCCGCTATCTGAGGTTTTAGCTTTCACGCTATCATAACGAGACAACTTACGTAAGCAAGTGTCATAGTTGTAGCCTTGACCAGTGCAGACGCAATATCCGTCTTTGCAGACAGCCTTCATTTGACTATATTGGCCAGAACAATAGTAAAAATTCTGCCATATATGACACTTTTGCCTGTGTGGATTGGGTGTAGGTGATGGTGAGGTGCTGTATGTAGGTACAGGTGTGAAAGCTGGTGTCCGGGCAGCTGTTAGAGTTGATGTGGGGGTGACAGCAGAACTGGGAGCTGGTGTACCGGCAGCTGTTGGAGTTTGTGTGATGGCGGCAACAGAGCTGCTACTGAGGTTTCCATACCCTGAACCTGCTCAAGAGAAATGCGAAAAATGGTCTGGTAAAATAAAAAAATTGATCGAAATTATAGTGTAACCTATGGTACACAAACAACTTTCCAAAAATGATGCTTTGAAATTTCTTGGCAATTAGATGAATCAAGTTAACCAGCCAAATACTATAATCCAACTGAACGCCGATAAAAAAAAAAACAGTGATTTTTTGCGGTTGACAAGAGCAGAGTTTATTAGCTGAGCCAAACTGAAATAATACCCTTTCTACGATGTGTATATTTGAGCCAGACCGATAATGATAAATCAGCAATAAATAGGATAAATTTTCGTCCAAATAACTTAATTGACATGGACTTTGGGAATGGCACATACGGTTAGCTGTAATAGCTTTTCTGTCCCTCACCTTACAGTTCTACTTGAGTACATCCCTTTTCCACAGTTTTTCGATTGTTTCTACTCCTTTCCAAACCTGTTTTACGTTTTCTTTCAATATTTATAGTAACTGTATAAGTAAGTTATGATACCAATGGAAGAAGAATTCTTAAACAAAATGACTTCCAATAAACCTTGACAACACCATTATAGTAAATTATTGTAGCAATTCAATTTATGGCTTAAACGCTATCCGAAGTGTACGCTCATTTTGTCCCCGAAACACACAAGAGGTCTCTTTCATTTTTACCCTGTGAGCAGAGGCTACATTCGCTGTGTGAGCTGGCGTGCGAAAAGTAGCCTCTGCCGACAACCGTTAAATTTTCTATCGTGCATGCGCGAAAGTCGTCACGAGATTCGTAAGCAAAATTAATCGTCAGTCTGTCGTCAAATGGCGCGAGTTTCGCGGGAATTAAAAGAATTGCGACAACACTGATCTGCTACGCAAGACTCACGCAATGCTCTAAACCGGTCAAGAACAGAAAAAAACCCGTTTTTTAAATTTATTCGTCCAGATTTCTGGACGGATTTGAACGGTTGTCGGCAGAGGCTACTTTTCGCACGACAGCTCACACAGCGAAAATGAAGCCTCTGTTCGCAGGGTATTTCATTTTAAACTCGATTCTCAATAAAGCACTTCTTGGTTACCGTGTAAGGAAGACAACTCCAGTGACCATTCATCTGCTCTGTAAGTGCTCGTAAATGATGTCACCACGCCATATCTCTTGTGAACTTGTCTACAAAAAAGGGAACTTTAGTTATATGAATAGTCCATGCAAAACCGACAATACCAGGCATATAGCTGTGACACAATTCTTATATCAAAGTGTTTCAATAAAATTGTATCAAAAATACATTCCAAAATTAACCCTCTTTATTGCGGATAGCTAGAGCAGTGTGTACATTTTCGCTTTTTAATGTTGAAATGAAAACTTGTAAACCTTAAACTACAATCATCGACAAAAGTCTTGGGACGAACTGGCAAGGTATTTTCCATAAGGTAGTACAGTTTTATGAGAGCACCCAAAAATTACAGATAATTACAAATATTGCTTCACTTTCCCAAGGGCTCTTGTGCAGCCGATTGAAGTTGTTTATTTGTTTAAGAATACCAACGAAATTATCCATCGCCAGAGGCAGATATTTTCAGGGGTGACGCATTAGAAAAGTTTTGGCGGGGGTGGGGAGTTTTCAACCTGCACGTTGTTGTTGTTGTTGTTGTTGTTGTTTTGTTTTTTTTTGCGTTAACATTCCCTTCAATTTTTTCTTGCGTAAAGATCTTTTTTTTTATCGAACGCCCCCCCCCCTCAATGACTTTACTAATGATCCGTCCCTTTAGAAATTGTTTAATTTTCCCTTTGATTGTGTTATGTTTTGTCCCAGGTCTCTCTCTCTCTCTCTCTCTCCATACTCCCAAACATAGCACTTTTCCATTTGGCCTGTGGCAAGGTTACTACTAAAACACTGTTGAAAAAGGGGGAGGGGGTCGAAAGCACGTGAAAGGCTAACTGATAAGTCACTAAGACTTGGCAAAAATTGTGGAGATCACCCTGAATATGCTTTCTTTTGCTGTAAGGTTACTCACTTCAATAGCGCCACTGTATCACCCCCTCCCGAGTCACTGCCCCATCCTACTTTCCATCCTGAATTACCCCAAGGCTTTCGTTCAATTGCCTTCACTTGGTTTAAGTCTCCACTAACGGAACTTTCATCCACATACATAGCAACCTACAAATAAAACACAAATCACCATCAACACATCACACGTTGTTTCTTTTCGTAAAGGACATAAATAGGATTATTTATTAGTTATTACTAAAGTTTGCTGAAAGTTTTCCCAACATTGATACCTGCTATGGCAAGCAAACTGCCTTAAAAGTTTTGTTGAATAGGTACGACAAATAATTTTAACTTCTTGTGACATATTTGCCGGTGATCCCAACCAAAAAAATTGCTCAAAACATAAGATTTTACATCTCAAAGGTAAACTGACAAATTTAACCTTTTTAGGTGTTCTCGGGGCTACTATACACTGGATAGGATGATTTGTAAATGAGCGATTTTTAAGTGTTTCCGTGGACTTAAGCCACGTAATGACGGCTTTGTAAAGGTCAGAGAAGTTGAGTTTGACGATGCTTATGTCCTCTTTTATTTATTTGGTATTTTGTTCTAGTGAAATGAGTTTTTTGACTTTAATAACATGACCCGCTTAATACGGACACCCCGTTCGTAGGGACACTTTTGTTTGACTGTACCTCAGTCATACCACACTTACCTCCAATATAGTGAAAGGGGTTTTTTGACTTTAATAACATGACCCGCTTAATACGGACACCCCGTTCATACGGACACTTTTGTTTGACTGTACCTCAGTCATACCACACTTACCTCCAATACAAAAGGTTTCTTTTAACACAATAATTTCGCTAATATCAGTTCCTATTACGAAAGTGTACTTACCAAAATAACTTTACTGATGGAAGTACCAGCGGGTAACTTGAGAATCCAATTTACAGGTTCGTAGTTACCAAGGACGAGACATATCGGCCTGTTTGACTTTCCGCTACTGACGATATTTACAATAGCGTTTCCGGCTGTTGGTGGACGTCTGTTAATAACTTCGTACACAGTCAATATATGGACCTCGTATTGGGTGGAACTGCTGGCAGGTGTGCAGCTGTAGGTAGGTCGCTGTCGGCGGTTTTTATACTCTGCTTTGGCGAGGGCTGTAGCAGAATTCACCTCTATTTTACATCCATATGCATCAGCTGAAGAAATGAAAAAGTTACCAGAGCAATATCAGCATAAATAGAACAAAAAAAGCAATTTTCACCCAATATATGAGGTATTAGCTTTTCATTATCATAACAAGAAAACTTACGCAAGCAGGTGTCATAGTTGTAGCCTTGGCCAGTGCAGACACAATATCCGTCTTTGCAAACAGCCTTCATGTTATTATGTTGGCCAGGACAATAGTATGAGTTCTGCCGTATTTTAAGACACTTTCGCCCGTGTGGATTGGGTGTAGGTGATGGTGAGGTGCTGTATGTAGGTACAGGTGTAGAAGCTGGTGTCCTGGCAGCTGTTGGAGTTTGTGTGACGATGGTGAGAAACAAGAGAAGAGAATTAGAGAAATGCCATCGATGGTCTAGCCAAATCTAAAACTGATTAAAATTATAGTGTAACAAGCACAAGAAGTGCTTCCAAAGATTCTTTGCGACCACAATAATCAGGTAAACCAGAAAATGGAACTATCTGTGACCAAGTTCACTTTATATTATTATTTTATTCCTTTTATTTTCCCTTTTGGTAGCTATTTTATTTTTCTTTAGAAATATGCAAGCATGTGTTTCCATATGTTACATGCACAAACCACATTCTTGTGTCATGTCCTAGGTAAGCTGGTTTTAGAGCATAAAAGCAAATGTGGTTAGAATTTATTTCCTTTTAAGTAAACAGAAGCCTGCAAGTAAATAAGACTTCAATGTTTTCTAGGCTTACATGTAAGAGAATTTAGGTATGGCAGTTTGTGGGTGAGTTCTACATTTCTATGCCCTAAGTAACAGGATGTGAACCCAGTTTCCTAGCACTAAATATTCACTAGTTTTAGCCTAAGTTGGTCAGTTGCACTCAAACCTTTGAGGAGAGCACATTTCAGAAGCTACACCTCTGTAGTTCAAGCAAGTCAACCTTCAGCACCTTGGTATGAGATTGCTTTGTTATGTTCTACTCTAGTGACCTTCAGTCCTTGTTTTCTTACGGTATTTAGCCTTTTACTACTTCCTTAGTTGTGATTATGAGCAGTTTCAGTTCCTTTTAGGTCAATTACCTCGTTGAATTCACAAATTAGTCACTGTGAAACTGTTCTTGTGTTCACTCAGCTATAAGTTTCAGATCAATTTTACCATTAGTCTATTGTCTGTTTATTGTGTGACTAAGATCTCACAACGAGAATGGCTAGTTTTATCATTTAACCATTTTCTGTTTATTTGCTTTGTAAATAGTTTTTCTTAGTTTTCTTTAGCTTTCTTTTAGTTTAATTATTTTGTTTGTAATTTGTTGTTTCCTTAGCTGCTTTCACCCTTTTTTACTTTCCTTGTGTAATAAATTGTTTCAATCAATTTGCTGTTTGTCTGTTATTCACATGACAACAACGAACCTAACATGGTCACATATCTTTAACAAACTGCCAGTAGCTTCAAGTAGTTACATTATGGAAAACATTACTTAAGTAGCTTGAGGGTGGTTGCCCAGATGAGCGTAGTCAGGACTATATGTTCACCCAGACAATTATGCTCAACGTACTTGTGAAATATGACTCCCGGGTTTAAACCTTTTTCAAAAACATCACTGTTATTTCGGTTGTAAAAAAGACAAAACATTATGTATACACACCGCTTGAGGAGCGTACCACCAGTGACCATTGATTCGCTTTGTAAGTACCTGTAAATGACGTCACCACACCAAATCTGTTGTACACTTTTCTATGAAATGGGCAAAATATAAGTTGGCATGCAAAATGAACAATATAAAACTATCTTATATCAAAATTATCAAGATCTGAACAGACTTGAGGATGCGTGGAAATTTTTCTATAACAAACGTGGAATAACCTCGAATAACTTTATTGCTGTTCAGTTAGCAGTGGTGGTGGATCCAGACCTTCAGGTAAGGGGTGGGGGGGGGGGGGGGGGAGAAAAGGGGGGGGCCGGGCGGAAAAAAGAATGTTATGCAGTTTGCTCTAATAATAGGGGAGGCTTTACTATAAAAGCCCCACTGTGTCTCCCCCCCATGAATACCGTCATTACCCCCTCCGCCCCCCTGCTTTGCGTACACTCTT